CCTTGTAGATGGAGAGACAAGTTGTGAGTTATCCGCTGCAGAGTTTCTAGCCTCTGACCTGTTCATGTAGCCAAAATATTATATGGCTAGTCCAATTCAGAGTCTGATGAGTGCTAACCCCAGGACGGGGAGGCAATAGCCTAGTGGTATTATCGCTGGACTGTTAATCCAGAGACCCAGATAATTTTCTGGGGACCCAGGTTTGAATCCCGCCATGGCAGATGGTGGAATTTGAATTCAATAAATACCTGGAATTAAGAATCTAATGATGACCATAAATCCATTGTCGATTGTCGGAAAAACCCATCTGGTTCACTAATGTCCTTTAGGGAGGGAAACTGCCATCCTTACCTGGTCTGGCCTACATGTGACTCCCGACTCACAGTAATGTGGTTGACTCTTAACTGCCCTCTGGGCAATTAGGGATGGGCAATAAATGCTGGCCTAGCCAGCAACACCCTCATCCCGTGAATGAATATAGAAAAAAAAAGATGCACTGAATGGTGAACATTGTGCAATCATCAATGAACATCTCCACTTCCTTTATGATGGAAGGAACGTCATCGATGAAGCAGTTGAAGATGATGTGGCACAGGATACCACTCCAAGTACTTCTTGCACAGACATGCTTGGTATCACTGCAACCACTGGGGAGCTTTCTGCAGATACCCATTGATCCCAGTTTTGCTAAGGCTCCTTGAAGACATAATTGGATGAATGCTGCCTTGATTTCAAGGGCAATCACTTATTCCTTATCTCTGGAGTTCAGATTTTTTGCATGTTTGGATCAAGATCAGAAGCCTATTTGCTTTGGCAGTATCCAGACCGAGTATGCGAGTGCTTCTTGATAGCACTGTTGACAAACCCTTACATTACTTTGCTGATGCAAGAGTAGACTGATGGGGCAGTAATTGGTCAAGTTGGATTTGTCTTACTTTTTGTGCACCTGGACAAACTTTCCACATTGGTTACAGCACGGACATTTACTCAACATACGTGAACTGCTTTGTGTGAGGGGCACGGCTAGTTCTGGCAGACTAGTCTTCAGTAATATTACCAGAATGTTTTTCAGGCCCCATTATTTTGCAGAATCCAGTGTACTCAGCCAGTACATTTGACTTGTGGATTGAGTTGAATTGGTTGAAGATGAGGAACATCTGTGATGCTGGGAACCTCAGGAGGAGGCAAATACTGATTATCAAGTTGGCACTTTTAGCTGAAAATAGATGTAGATGCTTCAGTCTTTGTCTTTTGTACTTGTGTGCTGGCCCAACCAGCATTACGAATGGGGATATTGCAGAGGCTGTGCTTCTTGCAAGTCGTATAATTGTTCATCATCAATCAAGACTGGATGTGGCAGGACAGCAGAGCTTTGATCCGATCCGTTGACTGTGGTATCACTTCGTACTGCATTATGCATACTGCTCACTTTTTTGGCAAACAAGTTGTCCTGTGTTATAGCATGACCGGGTGAACACCTCATTTTGTTTTGGAATGCCTGTTGATGTTCCTGCCATGTCCTCATGCTCTCTTCTTTGAACCAGGGTCGGTTGATGGTAATGGTAGAGTAGAGGATATGCTGGGCCATGACGTTACAGACTGTGATTTACTATAAGTCTGCTCCTGCTGATGACCCACTACCTCATGAATACCCAGTTTTCAGTTGTAAAATCCACTCAAAGCATCCTGTTTAAGATGCCACACAACATGATGGAGGGTATTTCAATGTGAAGACAGGACCTTGTCCCCACAATGACTGTGTAGTGGTCACTCTGACCAAAATCGTTATGGATGGTCACATCTACGAAAGTTAGATTGGCGAGGATGAAGTCAAATAGATCTTTCTTTCGTGTTGGTTCCCTCATCACCAGTCCAATTTGGCAGATTTATCCTTTAGGATTCTGCCAGCCCTGTCCCTATTGAGTTTGACTCCCCATTTGGAGTGAACAAATTATATCAAGATGATGACTACTCAGTCATTGATGCTGCTACCCAAACACACCACTGTTCCAACAAATTATCCAATGATCTTCATGCATCTGTCACCTGCGTGCAGATTTTTGATTAAGGACTCCTAGGTTCACAAACCCTATCCCTGATGGAAAGTTTCCATCACCTCAGCATGTGCCAATGGCTTGGTAGAAGCCTGGCTGTGATTTTATTTAACATGGGGACCTTGGGACAGTCGTTGCCCATAGCCTGATGGGTTGGTGGTCAGGTTCTGGTGATGTGTCAAACCATGATGACCATGACCACCTTGTTGCTGCAGCCTTCTTGCACCCTCACAGCCAGTAAGACACAGTCTTCCTTTGCTTGTTGGGCCATTGAGGACTTTTTCTACTGCACTTTCTCAGGCATCTCCCCTCTGCCTCCCATGAACAAGGAACTCCGATTGCATTACTCACAGGACACCACAGCACACCCCAACCTCTCCACATGGAGGAGTCATGTGGAGACCTCCTCCAGGTCCTGCTCACTTGAGGATCACATCTGGAGTTGGCAGTCCCAAAATACTGGAGAATCGCATTGATCATGTTTTCAAGTCTTGGGACTTTAACAGAATTTTGAGGGGCCAGACAGCAACAGATGACCTAAACTGATATTTTGCAATACATGAGGTATTTGAAAGTATGATATGTAAGAAGTGGAGGCATTTTGAGTATGGATAATAATTGATAGCAATCACCAAAGGTGGGGAAATAGAAAAACGCACTTTCAGAATCATGATGAATGTGTATAGCATGCAATAGATATGAGCAGAATCCATAATTCTACCACATGTGTGACCACAGAAATTCAAAAATGAGGCTCAGGAGCTTGAATTTAATTTTTGCCATTGAAACATAAGGAAAATTGGTATTGGGAGTGCAATGTGATGATCCCAGCTGGTGTTACAACTGGCCAAGTCTGATCAGAGAATGAAATCTGATTTGATTGATCATGTTATTTTTAAAATTAACCTGGCAGTCTTTCACTAAAACATAAGCACAACAGGCTACAGATTGATTTTCACAATAAAACATTGTTTATTATGCAAAAAAAAAATAAAACAAAACATATTAAGCTCCCTACGTATAACGCAGTTTAAAAGATTTCAAACATCCAGAAAAACAAAATTCCAACTACCCGCAACACCTTCACTTTACAGTTAATCAAAATACAGAGAAACGTTTCTGTCAAATTTGTAGCTTGACTAAAGTGTTTCTTTTCAGTTCTGGTCCCATAGACAGTGGAGTCTTTTTCTTTGATTCACACAGGTGAAATCTTAGACTTGCGCAGCTTTGAATAAGCAATGCAGACTTCTAGCCAAACACATCTGGTCTGGATGTTTTTTTTGCAAATTACAACCCTTACACTTACTCAACCTATCCCCTTAACTGCTCTGAATGATCTGATTTGCTGGGAGAAACTATCCTTGTATCTGACTCCAGTCAGGTTTTGCTCAAACCAAACAAAATATTTTCTCAGTTAAAATTAATCCTTGATTATTCTAAACCCAAAAATGATCTTATGTATTTCAATGTCTTCTCTCTCCTGTTGTAAAACTTCACAATATAAACAAACTTCCACTAACTTGCCAGGAGGCTGATAGTCATCTCCCTCTGACACATTCTGGTTTAAAACCATGATTCAAAAAACACTGACCTAGCTATGTATGAAACTCCTTCACACAAACAGACTACCACTCAGATGCCAGTACCTTAAAATTCAAACTCCTAAAAGATAATGGAAAAATATATATAAATCACACACCTTTCATGTCAGCATATAAATGCTGGATAGAAACTTGAAATAAACCCTTTTTGAGTTTGCAAGCAGAGGAAGAATAGGTATTAACAGAATCCTGATTAGTACAAGTTTTCTTTTAATGTGTGTATGGGATTTGGACATCGTTGGCTAGACCAGCATTTATTGTCCCATCCCAGTTACCCCTGAGAAGCTGGTGGTGATCTGCTTTCTTGAATCACCACAGTCTTTGGTGTATAGGTATTGATGAGAACAGAGTCCCAGGATTTTGACCTAGCAACAGTGAAGGAGTGGCATTATAGTTCCAAATCAGGTTAGGATTTGGAGTGGACGGGAAACTGAAGATGGTGCTCCTTCTCAGTGGTGGAGGTCATGGTTTAGAAGTCTTTATACAATTCGTTTTTGAATAGTCTCAGTGGTGAAATGAAGTTATACTGCTTAGCTGTTAAATAGGGCTCCCAGGCTATCAGTCAAGTATTCTTCAATGGAATCCTACTAATTATAATCCCTTATCAATTTCAATGGTAGGCAGTGCCCTACACAATTTAGATTAAAATTAATTTCATTATCTATAAGTTAAAATTATGCAGAAGCTAATTAGATAGGAAAAGCATATGGCATATAGCTGGTGAGAGCAGTTTATTAGTTCTGGAGGACTGATGAACAGACAGTTAGTACAGAGCAGATACCTCGTGCTGGTGATGGCAGCCTTCAGGCTCTCCTGCTAAAGCATCAGAAAGCTCTCCCTCCACCCCATCCTTTATTATTTAACACTGGGTGCCATTTGTTAACTCCAGCTAACCAGCTATCTTGTTAACTGGGTACAAGATTCTAGCTTGTTTGCTCAGGAATGGTAAAATGGAGGCTTGTTCCGGGAGATCTGAACAAGTGACCCTGAAAGCTCCATTCTCTTTACTTATTCTGTTTTTTGTCTCTGGCTGCTAAGAACTGTTCATATTTTTGAAAGAACAAAAGGAATCACATTTCCTTCTATATCCTGATTCTAGGATTCTTAAAGCTACCACTCCTTACATAAGCTCAGAACTGAATTCCTGGCTTTTAAGTTTTCAAAATTAATTTGTATAAAAACAAAGATCGACGTGTACTCTAAGCACAGAACTTTTAACAGTGATCATCTCCTAATGACTAGCTGCACATAATATATATTTATTTAATAATTACATACAGTATCCACAATTGTAAAAGCATAATTCAAAATCCTTGGCTCACCATTTTCACACTTTCATCCCAATTCACACTCTGGTTTCACCCACGACCATAAATGGATGAAATGGGAGAATATTTTGGCGAAAGCTATGCCTTCTGGAAATGCTAGCAAAATAATAATCAATATCTTGTTCTGATATTCCAAAATCCATATTCCCACGAAGTGTGCTCCATTCTGTTTCACTATCTGCAAGTGCCTCACCATCCTGTGATACATAAACATTGGAATAGATAGATGGTGGCCTGCTCTGGGTATATTCTGCTACAGCTAAATCCAAGTGCTCAAGATCCAAAAGGTCTTGCTCTGTCCAGAGAACGGCTGATGGGTGGGTCCAAGATGCTTCAACTCTGGGTGTTGAGGTAGTTTGACGGTCCTCCACAGCATGATCCAAACAAGTACAACTTTTGAAAAAAAAAATGTAAAGAACTACAAGGATCAAAAATTGTGCAACTGTTTTCAATGAAATGGCCTGCTTGTAATCTAATTGCAAAGTTACGAAACAAAGATATCATGTAATTTCCGTTGGTTGTTATTTTTGGAGACACTATTTATTTTAAAGAGGACAATGAAGAATAAATGCAGATTGTGATCCATATAATGTCATGGCGCAGATTTTTCTGTTTAAATAACAATAATGCTGGGTACTCACTGTTATCTGTGCATAAATTTACACTTGAATGTAGGAGAGTTGAGATTTAGTATTGAATGTAGGGGGTTGATCAGTTTGCTGATGATATAAAAATTGGTGGGATGGTGAATAGTGAGGATAGCCCTAGAGTACAGGAGGATATAGATGAGCTGGTCAGGTAGGCTGATCAGCGGCAAATGAAGTTCAATCTGAATAAATGTGAGGTGATGCTCTTGGGCAGACTAAACAAGGCAAGGGAATACATGATGAAAAGCAGAACCCAGTGGGAAGCACTGAGAATCAGGGGGAACTTGGTATGCATGTATCCCAGTCGCTTGAGGTATATGGAAAGGTAGATAAAGTGGTTAAGAAGGCATATGGTTTATTAGCTGAGGCATAGAGTTCCAGAGCAGGAAGGTTATGCTGGAAATGTATAAATCTTTGGTTAGGCCACAGTTAAGTATTATGTGTGGTTCTGGAATCCAGATTATAGGAGGGATGTGATAGAACTGGAGAAGGTGAACAGGAGATTTGCCAGGATGGTGCCTGGGCTGGAGAGTTTCAGTTATGAAGACAAATTAGACAGACTGGCATTGTTTTCCTTGTAGCAGAGGAGTTTGAGAGGAAACATGACTAAAATGTAAAAAATTAGAGGGGCGTACATAGAGTAGACAGGAAGAAATGTTTTCCCTTGATGGAGAGATCAATGACCCTGGGGCATGGATTCAAGGTAAATGACAGAAAGTTTAGAGGGGATGTGAGGAAAAGTGTTTCAACCTGGAGGATGGTGGGAATTTGGAACTGACTGTAAGGGTGGTAGGGGCAGAAACCCTCACATTTATGAAGTATTTAAATGTGTACTTGCAATGGCAAGGCATACAAAGCTACGGGCCAGTTGCTGGGAAATGGGATTGGAATAGTTAGATGATTAATTTTGATCGGCACCGACTCGATGGGCCAAAGGGCCTGTTTTGTGCTGTAAATCTCTATGACCCTAAATCACACAGCAATTTGAAGTAAGGGCAGATGCACAATTTAACACAAACTCTTTAGCTTCTAGTCCACTCTTGTTTATCAGCTTCATAACGGCAAAATAAATGAAGTTAGTCCTCAGGCACAAATCCGACTGACAGATCTGGACGTGGGTGAACTTCCGCATGCAGTAGGAACAGCTACCTGACTGAAATTACAAGGCAGTGGACCAATAAAACATTGGTGGGCACAGGCCTGATCAATGGCAAGGTAGGGGTGGATAAGGAGTTACCAAGCACCATCAGCTGACAGTATCAGAGATCTGGACACTAATTTTAAGCAGCACCAAGCCATGCATCCAGTGCCTCCAAGTCAACAGTATCAGTGTGGCAGCAGCTCACAGGAACCATCGAGCTTCAAGTTCCTAGGAGTAAGTATCACCAATGAGCAGTCCTGGTCCATCCACGCTGACGCTACAGTCAAGAAAGCTCGCCAATCTCTACTTTCTCAGAAGGCTAAGGAAATTAGGAAATTCACGTCCACAATAATTCACCAGTTTGTATATATGTACCATAGTAAACATCCTATCTGGATGCACCTCAGCTTGGTATGGCAACTGCTCTGCCCAAGACTGCAAGGAATTTCAGAGAGTTGTGAACACAGCCCATTCCATCACACAAACCAGCCCTCCTTCCATTGACTCAGTCTACACTTCCCACTGCCTTGCGAAAGCAGCCAGCATAATCAAAGACCCCTCTCACCCTGATTATAGTCTCTTCCACTCTCTTCCATCAGGCAGAAGACACAAAAGTTTCAGTACACATACCTACAGATTTAAGAACAACTTCCTCCCTCTGTAATTAGACTTATGAACTGACCTCTCATATATTAGAGTTGATCTTTCTCTGCACCTTCTCTGTAGCTGTAACACTATAGTCTACATTCTGTTCTGTTACCCTGATGCACTTATGTAAGGTATGATTTGTCTGATTGGCACACAATACAATACTTTTCACTGTACCTCAGTACTTGTGACAATAATAAATCAAATCAAAATCAGCTTAAGCCACATGATTTCCTGGAAATGCTGTTTTGAGCTAATACAAAACAAAATCCGACCCTTTAAAAGCACAAGTCACTTTCATATACCAAAAAAATTATTTTTTCTTTAGAACCTGTTATGATCCTGGCTGATGTTGCCATTGGACAAGGTGGACAGGTCTTTATATTTCTACTTAACATGGTGCTCTACCACTGAAAACATAAGTACTTAATGCTGCAGATTGGTTTTAACATTGAAACAGAAGTTTCTTATATGAAAGAAATTAAAATAAAATATAAAAGATCAAGCTATTTGCATATAACACTATTTGAAGATTTCAAAACACACAAAGGTAAAATCCCATCCACTGCTTTTCATTGTTTATATAAATGATTTAGATGTGAGCATAGGACGTTTGATTAGTAAGTTTGCAGATGACATCAAAACAGGAGGTGAGGGGACAGTGAAGAAGGTTACCTCAGAGCACAACGGGACCTTGGTCAGATGGGTCAATGGGCCAAGGAGTGGCAGATGGAGTTTAATTTAGATAAATGTGAGGTGTTGCATTTTGGTAAGGCAAACCAAGGCAGGACTTATACACTTAATGACAGGGCCCTGGGGACTGTTGGCAAACAAAGAGACTTAGGGGCGCAGGTGCATTGTTCCTTACAAATGGAGTCACAGGTAGACAGAGTGGTGAAGGAGGTGTTTGTCATGTTGTCTTCATTGGTCAGAACATTGAGTATAGGAGTTGGGACACCATGTTGGGGCTGTACAAGACATCAGTGAGGCCACTTTTGGAGTACTGTGTACAGTTCTGGTCACCCTTCTTTCGTAAGAAGGTTGTTAAACCTGAGCGGGTGCAGAAAAGTTTTACAAGGATGTTGCCAGGATTGGTGAGTTTGAGCTATGGAGAGAAGCTGAACAGGCTGGGGCCATTTTTTTCCTGGAACGTTGGAGACTGAGGTTAATAAAATCATGAGGGGCATGGATAGGGTGAATAGACAAGGTCTTTTTCTGCGGTGTGAGGGTCCAAAACTAGAGGACATCGATTTAAGGTGAGAGGGGAAAGATTTAAAAAGGGCCAGGGGGTAATTTTTTTCACACAGAATGTGGTGTATGTATGGAACAAGCCAGAGGAAGTGGTGGAGGCTGGTATAGTTACAACATTTAAAAGGCATCTGGATGGGTATATGAACAGGAAGAGTTTAGAAGGATATGGGCCAATTGCTGGCAAATGGGATTAGGTCAGATTGGGATGGTGGATCTGGTCAATACAGATGAGTTGGACCAAAGGGTCTGTTTCCGTGCTGTATGATTCTATGACTCTATTTCCCAACACCATCACCCCACAGTACTCAAATACAAATTAGAATTCCCTTCTCCATCACATCTATAGAACTGTCCTCACTGTTTCTTTCGACTCTCAGTCCTGAAAGCTTGATAGCCTCTTCCTGGACTTCAAATAAACCCAATAGGATCCCAATAAAACACTTCTGTTCTGGAACTTTCCAACTAAAACTTTTACATTGTGGTAACCCATTCCCTAACTGTTTTTAACTAACTCCTTCCTCCAGAAGAAACTGTTTCTTACATCTGACTCCAGATAGATCTTCGAACTGAAATGAAAGCTTTCCAATTCATGGAATTTTCCTAAACAAAAATGAATTCTTGATTCTCTGTAACCAAAAGCAAGCTAATACCTTTCAATGTTTAATCCCTCATTATGCAAACAGACTTACATAATCACTCTGGTAGGCCACACCCCAGTCATCTGCTTAGATACATACTGGGTTACAAATCATGACCCTGGAAGGACTGACATGTTAATTATTAACCTTTCATATGCCTCTATTTAAAAATCCATGGTCTCAAAAAAGTTTTATATATGATAATATATATAAAACACACATCTCACATCACAAACCCAAATAATACTAATATATTACAAATCTTCACCACACAGTCACCACAGTGGCTATGTAGTCACATTTGGAATCTGGATCATATTCCAGTCAGTACATTACAGACATAGCAGAGCAGCTGTTGGAGGGTGTGGCAGCCAAGGGACCTGACAATCACAGGACTGTTGGAGGCCAGATTTATGTTGATAGTGAGTCTCTGGTCACAGCCACAAGAAAGCTACTGGTGATGCAGAGACTGGCAGGAAAGTATCTGGGTAAATGGCCAAAGACATTGTGCAGGTATGTGTGTGTGATAGAGGGGTCCATCCAGACCATGAATTCTGCTATGGTAGAGGTAGCAGCACATTGGTACATAGTCAGGAAGGAGTTGCCCTTTGAGTCTTCAACACTGATTCTGGATCCCATGAATTCTTATCGCACCAGGTCAAGTAAGTACAATGAAATTGCCAGGGGGAGTGGGGCTACCCTGTCAATCAATAACAGGAGTGCCACTATTCACCCAGCAAGTTGTCCTAAAGCACTAAGATGCTAAACTGGGTCTATAGCAGGTGATGAGTGAACCAAAAGACAGAAGCACCCACTTGACCTTGTCCTCACCATTCTACCTGTCACAAATGCATCTGTTCAGGATCATATCAGTCAGAGTGACAACTGCATAGCCCTTTGGACACAAAGTCTCACATTCAATTGAGGATGCCATGTATCGTGTTGTATGAGACAGTCGCTGGGCTAAATGGAATAAAATTAGAATGGATTAAGTATCTCAGACTGGACATCTATGATGCTATGAGTCATGAGAAGCAACCGAATTGCATTTAAACCCAGTCTGAAACC